TTATTCATATTTTATCAAGATTAGCAAAAGTCCCATCATTTACACATGTATCTGAAGAATGGACGGCCACACAGGAAAGGTGTTTTTAATCACCGGTAAGACAAACTGAAATTATTTTAAAATACGAATATGTCAAATTGAAAGACTGTACATAGCGAGAAATATCGATAGTAATATTGTCTTATAGGTGCTAGCTCAGGTATCGGGGAGGGCATCGCCGTCCACCTGGCTAGGTGTGGAGCAAGTTTGTCACTGACGGGAAGAAATGAGGTCAATCTACAGACTGTAAAGGAAAAATGTCTGAAGGAAGGTTTATCACCGGAAAAAATAAGCCAATTATTCAACAAAATAACTCATTACTGTATAGTGAAAGTGTCCGAAAAAGCCAGGGTCTTTTACCGGGAAAAGTAAGCCTGTTATTGAAAATTTATAAAGGATGAGAGTACTTTTTACATTTTCTATAATAGGCTTACTTTTCCCGATGAGTGCACTTAAAGATTTACGAGAATTGCGTGTAAATAAACTTTAAACACACACTGTTCTTTTAATTGCAGGAATGAATAACATCTGATCATGATTTAAAAACAACAGAAACGACCGAAAAATAACCAAAACACAGCGTTTAGTGCAAGTTTAATTACTATTTTACAGGCGTTTTAAACCATTTTTTATCCATAGATACTGCTTTCCGTGGGTGACATTTCCTGCAGAGAATTCAGATGGTCACTAGTGGATCAAACAGTAAAGAAATTTGGAAAGCTTGATGTTCTGGTAATTATTTATATACGTTTATAAGGTATTGTAGCATCAAATGTAAAATACAATATACTTAAAGTTTCTTATCTCCAAAAAATGTACTCTTTTCCAACTGACTCTAAATCCTTCTACATATCTTACTTCACTTCTAAAATGACAACATAACTATAGGGACTTGTCTTTCTAATTATTAAACGAAAAATAAACATAGTAATCGTTTTCATGAAGAGATGCGACCGCCTTTTTTAAATTTATTAAATCAGTATGAATCACAAGTACTTATAAATATTTTTTTTATTTTTTTCTTTTATCTCACTTTTGCTTTTATTATATTTTTTTTTTGAGATTTGAAATTATATAATGAGGTCATCTAAAAAAAATATATTGATTGAAACCATCTTAAATCATCATAACAATGATTAAACTGTCACTAATTCGGACACATATTTGCACCGATTTATAAGCAGGTGAATGCCAAATCCCATCAAAATAACTGCACAGAAATACAACTGACTAATTTTGGACTTTTACAAGAAGCACCGACTTGGACATTTAAACGTGTATTTTGTATGGAGGTACAGAATTCATAGTACATAAGAAAACCTTTCTAGTCGTTATTATGTTCCCCAAACGGAGTTTGGGAACATATTGTTTTTACTCTGTTTCTTATTATTATTATGTTCCCCAAACGAAGTTGGGGAACATATTGTTTTTACTCTGTTTCTTATTATTATTATTCTTTTTTCTTCTTATTTCTTCTCCGGTACTTTTTTGTCCGGAAGTGTTCTCAGAAACTGTTCACCAAACTAAGTTAAAACCTTTTTAGGGTTAGTAGGCATGTTGTGTAGATGTGCTGAACGAAGGTCATTTTGTGCGCATTCGCATGCACGTGCGGGCGCGTGCAATGAGTAAAATGACTGATATATTTAATATGGTTGTAACTTTTATATTTTTTTATAAAATGTTTTGAAACTCATTATATAAAGATATATAAGATGTGTAGATAAGATGACATGGTCAAATTTGCATGAACTCACGCGCATGCACGTGCGCTTTGCTCTGATTGGCTGAAACAGAAATCTTAATATCTTTTTTGTTTTATGATGAAATGCTTTGAAATTTATAACATAGACATGCATTAGGATGTACTACAATATGATATATAATATTTTTCATCAAATCACGCGCATGCACGTGCGCTGCAATCTGATTGGCTGAAACTTTAAATGACTATAACTCCCTTGGTTTTCAACCAAACAGCATAAGATTTAGAACTTAGATAGACATAAAGAACTCCTACAAGATGGTATGGTCACCATTCACATGCATGCACGTGCGTGCACATGTGCTTTGCTCTGATTGGGTGAAACAAAAATCTTAATATCTTATCTGTGTTTTTACAAAATGCTTTGAAATTTAAAACATAGGCATACTTTAAGATGTCCTACAATATGATATATAATAATTGTCATGAAAACACGCGCATGCACGTGCGCTGCAATCTCATTGGCTTAAACTTTAAATGGCTATAACTCCCTTGTTTTTTAACCAAACAGGATGGGATTAAGAACATAGACAGATATAATGGACACCTACAAAAAGGTATGGTCATCATGCACGTGCGTGCACGTGCAATGAGTAAAAAGTGTAGACAAGATGATATCGTCATTACGCTCATGCAATCACATGCGCACGCCTGCATTGCTTAAATTTGAAATACTTGGTATACTTTTGGGAAAACTTTGTTTACGTCTTAAATGCATAGATTTTGCCTTCTTTGATGAAACGTACAGGGAATATGGCACAAGAAGGGAGTTGGGGAGCGTTTGGGGAACATCTGTAACGGTTCCCGTTACAATTAGCACTAGTTATTATTCTTTTTTCTTCTTATTTCTTCTCCGGTACTTTTTTGTCCGGAAGTGTTCTCAGAAACTGTTCACCAAACTAAGTTAAAACCTTTTTAGGGTTAATGGGTATGTAGTGTAGGTGTGCGGAACTAAGTCATTTTGCGCGCATACGCCTGCACGTGCGGGCGCGTGAAGTGAGTGAAATGACTGATATACTTTTTATAGCTATAACTTTTACATTTTTTGATGAAATGCTTTGAAACTCATTAAATAAAGATATATTATTAGTGTTAATATCAATACACTGTAGAATTAGCACGAACTCACGCGCGTGCACGTGAGCTTCGCTCTGATTGGCTGAAACAAAAATTTCAATATCTCTTTTGTTTTTTGACGAAATGCCTTGAAACTTTAAACATAGTCATGAACTAGGATATTCTACAATATGATATCAAAAAAATTTCAAGAAATCACGCGCATGCACGTGTGCTGCAATCTGATTGGCTGAACTTTAAAAGGCTATATCTCCTTTGTTTTTTGATGAAATGCTTTGTAATTTCAAACATACACATACTTTAGAATACCCTGCAATATGATATACAGAAAAATTAAAGAAATCACTCGCATGCACGTGTGCTGCAATCTGATTGGCTGAAACTCTAAAAGGCTATATCTCCTTTGTTTTTTGATGAAATGCTTTGTAATTTAAAACATACCCATACTTTAGAATACCCTGCAATATGATATACAGAAAAATTAAAGAAATCACGCGCATGCACGTGTGCTGCAATCTGATTGACTGAAATTTTAAATGGCTACATCCCCTTTGTTTTTTGACGAAATGCTTTGAAATTTAAAACATAGTTTTAATTTAGGATATCCTGCAATATGATATACAAAAAATTCATGAAATCACGAGCATTCACGTGTGCTGCAATCTGATTGGCTGAAACTTGAAATGGCTATAACTCCCTTGTTTTTCAACCAAACAGGATTGGATTTAGAACATATATAAATATAACGAACTCCTACAAAAAGGGATGGTCATCATGCACGTGCACGCACGTGCGTGCATTTGGAACGAGTGAAATAAAAATACATTTGAAAGAGTGATTTTTTCATACTTTTGGACTGAATGCTTTGATATATAGTATATTTGAATATATAGATAGTGTAGACAAGATGATATGGTCATAACGCACATGCATTCACAATGCTAAAATTTGAATATAATTGTATCCTTCTGGGTAAACGTTGTTAAAGTCTAAATTACCAGAATTTGTCTTATTTAATGAAGCTTACAGGGAATATGGCACCAAAAGGGAGTCGGGGAGCGTTTGGGGAACATCTGTAACGGTTTCCGTTACAATTAGCACTAGTATAGATATGGTTTTAGGGCACTTACATGTGAAAGCCGGGAAATGAGGGTAGGGTGGTTTTTCTTTTCTTCAAGAACAGCTTATAAGTGCTTTGAAAAGACCGTTATAATATTTATATCGTAAAAGAGCTACCGTACATTTTCCTAGTGTAAAAGTAAGCCGTCAACTGTAAAAGTCGGCGCTCCTCATAAAAGTCCTATACGCGAGTGTACGACACTTATCTTCAAAAAATGTTTTATGCGTTACCAACTGATAATCATACAAAAGTTAACTTAAATATTTATGACTAACTCATGACTAAACTTAACATTAATTCTCCATATGGAATAAAATATGTTGTAAATTGTACTACAACCATGTCCTTATATGCATGTACTACAGTACTGCATTTTTTTTCAATTACAAGGTAAATAATGCGGGGATGGCAAAGGCCATGGAGATATCCAAAGAAACAGAAGAAAACTTTGATCAAATTATGGACGTCAACATTAAGGCGGCGTATCCAAAAGAACTAAAAGGAAATAGAACTACAATATATATAATTGATTCTGAAAATCATAAAAATCCTTGAAAACGAAAAGACATTCATGTAGAGAGTTCCAGGAAATGTTCAACCAAGCCTCTTTCTTTACTCCGCACCAGGATATTTACAGTAGGGAAGGAGGAAATTTACGAGTACTGTACAACAATATATTCAATAAGTAATGTATATTAGATTTGGATACATAAAAATTCCAAGGAACTTTCAGACAATTTGAAACCACAAGAAATTAACAAAATCAGCAGCTTTAACATTTACGACTTTCCAACTTTATACACAACCATTCCCCGTGATAAATAAAAGTATAGGCCTTTTCATTTTATTGTAAGTTGCTTTTTTTAAATTTACTTACAACGTAAATTTACTTACCTTGTCATTGGTTATTTGCAAATTTTGTTAAAAACATTCTGATTGATCACACGTACAAGTGTACTCAGGATATCAGACATTTAAATACACATGCAGTCTATGTAGCGAAAAAATCTTTTAAATTCTTCCTAAGACTTGGTTAGATGAAAAATACATGCATGGAAGCATCTTCAGTTGTGGTTGATTCATGTTCGTTCAAAACGCGACTGGGGTTGGGGCATTTTATATTTAAACATTTCTGCTTTTCTCTAGCCAAAAGTGTTCCGATGAGCGATGTGGTCCGTGGGCTTTTTGTATTTTTTATTTTATGATAGAACCCAGGAAATTGTTCCTACGCTATGTCCAAAGCAGCAATGGATGCATTCACCAGGAATTTAGCTATTGGTATTATTAACCTTATCTTTATAAATTTAATTAATACGCTGTGAAATACTTATAATATTCAGATACTAGTATTTTTGTACACGTGTAATGACTAACATATTATGAAAAAGAATATATTTGTTTTCCAGAATTAGCACCTTTCGGAATACGGGCAAATAGCGTAAGGTACATAAATTTATAAGATGCGCATAAATGTTCATGAATGTCCGTGTAACACTATGCATTGAATTGGCATTTCAAATTTCTAGTATGAGTTTTAGAATTGTTATGCATCAAATCAAATTTCTTAATTTAAAAAAAAGCAATTTGAAACTCTTTTATTATATTTTAATATTTCATTTTAAAAACCCAAATTTAAGTTTTCCAAACAGGTTTAAAAATTTAGAATTTTAGAATGAATTTAAATCAAAATTCAATTTTCCAAAACAATTTTAGTAATTAAATTTCTGACTTTTTTTTTTTCTATGGTTTGTTCAAAAAGTGTACTCTTAACGATCAAGTTCAGTTTCAATTTTGATATTAATTTGTTTTGAATTTTACGTTTATTACTACAAATTTTTTAGAAAAAAGTTTGAGTTCATATTCTTTCAAATAATTTAGCTTATACTACAAAATTATTTTTTTATGCCACAATATTAAATCTTCAAATACAGGGTCAATTGAAGTTTTTGAAAATTATATATTGGACTAAGTAATTTTAGAAAATTAAATTGATAAGTGTTACACGGAGCTAGAAAACGCAAAAAAATGAAATTAAACGTTGACCACTTGAATTTATTAGTAAGACATATAGTTTAATCGATATTATTTATTCTTTATTTGTAGACCAGGACTAACAATGAGTAATCTTGCGAGACATGACATAACAGATGAAGAATTCTTCAAAAAGGTGATTACGAGACTTGTAAACATTCTATAGAGAAGGGTTAATTATAGGTATCTGGTATCTTAGATTAATGAAAGTTGATGATACAAAAAACAAAATGCAACAATATGTGATAGATTTCTCAACGAATAATGGAAAATATTGCCGGGAAACCCTACTAGAAAAAAAATTGTGTGTGATAAAAATACTTTATTCTGAAACAAATTGGTAAACTTTAAAAGATTGTTGCTAAATCGCAAAAATAAGTACCAGGGTCAAAATTCAGATCGGGAAGTGCCTCAATTTCAGTTATATTGTCAAAATGTATCCAAATTCAATACCCTTAATTAAGAACAATTCACTGTTTCTCGGTGTAGGTTGATTATTTAAAAGATCTTTCATACCAAATAAGTTTTTTTTCGAATAAAATAATGCCTTATCAGGTTGCTAGGTTAAGCCGTTTTGCTCTTTGTTCAATAGTATTCCAATGATTTAATTTTTGTGCCTTGTAAAATATTAATTATCTGCCTTTGGTGCATATCGTCGTATATAAGTAAGAAAAATAAATTAAATTACTTTTAAAGAAATCTTAGATATATCTTAAATAACTGAATCAAATTTGGTTGAACAAAAAAATATTTTATTTTGTATTTGACGTTCTTTCAAAGACGTCAAATAAACACTGCGGGATGTACATCCGGTTTAGTAAAATATAATCCAGGATGAGCTATCAAGGTGGAAAAAAGCGCCATGGACGACCGTAGTCGGCAAGCAAATTGGATTTTATAATATAACTTGAATAAATACTTGAAATACTTGAATAAATAAGCACAACACTTCATTATCCAGATGCTGAATTAGTCGCATTTTTTTCGTGAACAAACCCAAATCTTTTTGTAGGTCCCCTCAAAACACGTTGCCATTTTGATTCTTTGTTGAGGATGGGATTTTTTTTCTGCATTTTTTTTTCGATAAATTTCAGACTCCTGTTGTTTTATCAGTTGCTTTGCATGACATATTGTAATAAAGAGTTGAAATTATTAATTGTAAGAATTCTTTTTAAAAATCATTCTTTTTGATTTAGTCATTAAAATATATCCCCAAACATACAAACAATAAATAATTATATATTCGAAAACTGAATGTTAACTGAATGCTTAGTGAATGTTCAATGAGTTTTTAATGAATGTTAAGATGTGATCCTGTTTCAGATGATGACATTATTCGGAAATGAGAACCCCTCTGGACGGAATGGTACGCCGCAAGATGTGGCCAATGCTGTATCTTTCTTGGCGTCTGACAAATCATCGTATATAACGGGACAGGACATAGTTATTGATGGCGGACGTTTTATTCGATATTAATTTAAAACAATTACTTCACAATATTATGTTTGACTTTGATACAAATTAGATCAGATTGGCAGATATATTCTGGTAGCCACATTTGGCGCTAATTTTTTTTTCCCAATGCTCACTATCTAGCCTCTTGAAAACTCCAACACATTTTGCTCTAAGTAATGATTACTTACATATATATAGATAGGATCTCGGACAAATGCAATATTCGAGAAATCCTGTCCAAATGGGGAAATTTCGATAAGCCAATTTTTGGCCCATGATGAATTTCAGTTTAGTTTGTTAAATAATACTGATAAATGTCTGTCCTTCATATCGTCGCTGTAATATCAAAATTTTGTAAGTCGATTTTTGGCGCGAAATTTTTATTGCTAATTTGGAATCTGCAATATCGAATACATGTTCCGCCAAAACGTCATGTCTCTAGGCCAATAAGAAAGTGAGATATACAGACGTGTGATAAAAGCGTGTATGTCCATTGGATGCATTTTTTCTTTCTGACAAAAGGTCGTATGTCTCTGGGCACTGACAAGAATGTCACTGGCCGTCTGATATCAAAGTAAAAATTATCATTTTAGTTAAATCTTTTATAATTTTTATTTAAAAATGTGTTCAACATACAAAACAAAGTATATTTGCTTAATAAACAAGGAAATCAATGGAAATATCGATGAAAAGTTAGATGTAAGGTTACTTAATGACAAACTGAATTTCGCAGTTTGTAACTGTTAAACTGCAATCAATTTATGAGTATGTTTATATAATACATTTCCGAGCGTTCTAATATCAGATTCGTACGCTTACAATACATTGCAGGGATTTGTTTCAATGCTTTACTGGAGATACGACAATTTGTACAGAAAAGACAGAAAAAACATCTAGGACAGAAAGGAAAACACTAGACATACGACATTTTGAAAAAAGATGTTTTTTGTCTCTCCTGAAAAGTTGGGATTTTTGACTTACAACAATTTGATATTACAGCGACGATATTTTATTTGTTTAACCAGGATTTAATAATCACTTGACTGGGGGGTTTCTAAAGGGTCTCTCTTAAAGCGCTTTAGACGGTTTAGAAGATTCATTATAATTTTGTTGAATATTTTATATGAATAATATAATAAAATAAAGAAAAAAAATATTTTATATGAATGATAGAATAAAATCAAGAAAAAATTATCAGAGGACATCAAATAATATTAAAGTAGCACAATTATTATTTCATTTTAAGTTATGTTTCCTCTAAAGTAGCTATCTGCGTTGAAAGCTTTATAATTATTACAAAAAAAAATATGTACGCTCTTTTTTTGGTCATTTTAAATTGTTTGCAAGGGTACGACAAACGAGGAAATAAAGTGAAGCATTGTCCTAATAAAAAAAGATTAACATATATTTTGTTCCTTTTCATTTAAACACGGTGAATTTTCAATAACAACAATACATAATATAAAATGCGTAGCGAACGCGTACTATCATTACACTTAAAAGATAGTTAATTAAATTCAATGTTTGTTTTATACTATTATTAAATATATCAAAAGATAAAAATATGAATATGTAACGTGCGCTAAAAAAAACTATTCAAATATGGTGCATGAAGAATCGATGCTTAAAAAAGTATATCAAATATAAAAGCAATATACTTCAAACTATTCTAATTATATTGTGAAAAATGTCGTTTGATCGTGCATGATAATATTCATTCATAAAAATTGGAAGCATACAACATGTACAAATGTACAATGTTTATCCTAGAGATTCATTATCGGAATCCCAGTCTGTATCTAGAGCATCAAGAATAAATTTTTGTAGTCGGTCGAGGTTAGAAGCTTATCGACACTGTGACGTTGAAATTCCAGGTACATGTATCCAACGACTGCAGAGATAAGTGCACAACAACAGACCGTTCTCCCCCTGTTTTTGCATTGACACTACCATCCAGTAGTAGGGGATATGCTAGTTTCATCAAATGATATCCACAGAAAATACATGTATCTTTTTGCTGAAACATGGCGTGAGTGAATATTTGCACTTAGCAAACCTGCATCACCTTTGTGAATTGATAATCTATAAGTTCCATCTGGAGACATGTGTTCCTGTGTATACGATTTTGCCAGGGTTATTTGGTACACTCCGAGGTTCAACGTTTTTAAGTTATATTTCAGTCAAATCTTGGAAAGTTCTGCAAGCAATCCTGGGGCATTTCAGTCCACACTACTCGTCTACTGGCGGACTTCTCCTTTAAGATCCGCTTTTGTAACTCGGTCGAGGTACGCGAGATGAATTTCATTGCGTTTGCAAGAGCGATGTCATTGTTTTTTTCACGTACAAAAAGCGGCCGGAAAGCATTGACAAAAGCACATACTTTTCTTGTATAATCCACTATCCATTTCATTTGACAGTTTGGAAATATCTTATCTAATGCTTTCCATTTCTTTATTCTACCATATGCCGACTCCACGACCCATCTTACTTTTGCTAAACATCGGTAGTGATTTGCCTCCTTTGTCGTGTTGTTTGAAACTTCAAGAAAGATAATATGACATAAAATGGCATTTCACTGTTGATTTCAAGAGAATCGAGAAATCGAGTGGAATCCCGGAAGCCCCTGTTAACAACTTAAATGACATCTTTCTTTAAACAATTCTGGATTTTATTTATATTTTGTTTGATGATACTCTTCAGAATTGCAGTATCATTGCTCATTCAATCGGCTATAAATAAGACCCTAAACGGCAAGAATATAACCATCGGTTTTAACAATCATCGTTGGCTTTACCAGTGGTCTGTGTTTATATCCGCTGAATGTTTGTCTTTGAAAAGCGTAATTACCACTGTTTTGGATACAAATTAACATATGTCCCATCGAATAGAAGAATAGCAATCTGTTTCCCGTTTGCAAGAAGTTTAGACAAGGATCTTGTGTGCACTGAAATAAAACTCTCCCGTGTAATGTGTTTAAATCCTAAATACTTGGAAACAAAACGTTCCATCAAGCAGATTTGAAAATGACACTTTTTGATTTGAAACATGCTGCTTATAACACTTAATGAATTTTTATTTCTTAATTTTGTCAATAACAATTGAAAACGAGGCATGTTCTTGACCTGTTAAAATTTTATCAAGACAGTTTAAGTTTTTCAGTTTTTATGGATATCTATTAAAATGTTCTGAATGAGGGGGATGGTTCGGAAATGGGGAAACCATGGTGGTTCACAAAATGTGGATGCTGCTGGGAATTTGGACTTGAAATGATAGCTCCGTCTGTTATTGATGTATTTGCCGTTTGATTTGGTGTCTGGTGTATTTGAATTAACTCGGTTCTAACATTTAGAACCTCATTTTAGTTAGCTATTATCTCACCGGCGGAGCTCAAGGAAATGCTTTGATGCGGGCTACAGTTGGAAGTGGGTATATTATTTTGAGCATATAATTTATGTTGTGTTTTCGTTTCGGAGACAACTTTCAACCAGAACCTGTAGATCTTCTATCTGAGCGCCTACGCTTACTTCTTGTCATCTTTATTATGTTTTCACTAGTCATTTTGACACTCGTAAGTTTAATTTGGCTTATAATACACTACCCAAACGTGTCACCGCTATTTACATAAACCTTTAACAAAAACAATGAATCAAAATATTGACATACAGTATATCTATAATTGTATAAAAATTTCTGAATATTGAAACAAGGTTGTTCTTAAATACTGAATTAGTCGATTCTATATACTGAATAAACTCCACAGGGTTGTAAATTCAACCTGTTCATTCTTATGCAGCACAAAGATGTCATGAATTCACAGAATTGTAAAGTTAAAAGAAATAAAACCTTCTTCCTGAAATTCTCACAATATTAATATACCGAAATAATAATAAAAAAATTATTAAAGGCGCCGTTCAAGAGTTCTTACGATAAACCCGAATGATTTCCCCCATGGCTATTACGACTAGATGACTGTACAGATATGTTATTTGAAAGTTCCAAAAATCACTTGTTTTTTTTTTAGGGAAAAATAAAAAACCTGGTTACTGTAGATCACTTAATTTTCGCGACGCCTTATTTTCGCGAGATAGTCATTGACTCTTTATTAGCGAGACGAAATTTTCACGAGTTGTGGTTATTGCTTTATATAATCTTAAGGAATACTATTATACGCGAGAATCTAATTTTCGCGAGCACACTGTCTCGGCGTAATACACTTCGCGAATAAAAAGTGATTTTACAGTACCTAAATTGTCGATAAAATCGGGCAATGAGTACCAAATAAATTTTACAACTAAGTCGTTCAACAAATTAACAAAAAAGATTTTTTTTTATTTTTTATAAACAACTATATGTAGCATCGGGAACAAGTCGTTATCTGCAGATTTAAATTTTGAGAAAATGTGGGAAATCCTTGTATGCTTTTTTAAAATAATGAGTGAGACCATAACAAGTCCCTTATTACTTGTTCTAGGAAGTGACTGTCAAAGTCAAATAATTGACATTGTTTCCTTTTTGTTTAGTAGTGCTATGGATTATCCGTTCTCTTTCGATTAAGAATCGGTAATTTGCTGGATATCATTTTTATTCACCGGCGTTATGTATATTTCTGATGCTTTATCTTCATCATTGTCAATGAACTCAGCATTATTTATCAGTTCATCATTTTCAATTATTTGTAAGTAAGTATGCTTAACATCCTTTTCAAGTTCATAGGAATTGTCTTTTATTTCTTCATAAAAAGAAACTTCTTCGTCCACGGATCTACCGTCTAGAGATTCATATGATATTGGACAACCATTTATTTGTTCTATGTCTCCTGAATTATCCTCTTTCGGCGATGTATCCGTATTTGAGTTATCGGTATTTGTTGACATTTTGTGTCGCAGTTTTGCATAACGATATAAAATGACAGCACTTAATGCGATACTAAGCAAAGCGATTGATGAAATAATGGAAACTACTAAAACAACCTGAAAGTAACCAGCTGACGATACTGACTGAAAGGTGTTGTTCAAATAAAGTCTTGTAACAGACTTGTTCTCAGGAAAAGGATTAAATGGTGTGTGCTGCTCATCCTTCGTTATTGATTTCGTGTCCGAAAAATTAAAGGTTTGTTCTGAAAGAGATTGTTAAGCGTCATATTTAAATGAATAAGATAGCAAGTGAAATATAACTGGATACTGCAGCTAAAAAACTTTAACTTTAAAATGCATAATACATATAGAATAACATTTTGTTTCTGAAGGGTAACAACCAATGGTTGGGTCACATGTTGTTTCCTTACAGAAACACTCAGACTGGCATATAAATCCATAGTTTGAATAT